TGTATCTCACCACCATCCTTCACTGACAGTCTCCTGTTCACACTTCTTAAGGTGTTAAGGTGATAGCGCTATGTTTACTGAAAGTATAAATTAATTGGTTTGATGTTTACTGGGAGCTAACTACATTTCAGGCATGCATATGCCTAGTTACATGAGTAGATAAGACTCAGCCTGAATTTGCCCTTGTCCCCTCGCCCTGCAGACCCTTCTCTGCCCCAGTGACTTTGTGCATACACAGTTTACCTGCAGGACTGCATCAAGAAAGCAATTACAAGACAGAGTGATGAGAGTTTTGGAGGGGGGAGAGGAGGGCAGGTGTTTCACTTGGTGTGAAGATGCTGCCTGGATCGTCCACATCTCACATCAGAGTGCCTGGTTTGAGTCTCAGCTCTGCTCCCAGGTCTAGTGTCTTCCTGATGCACACCCTGGGGGGCAGTAGAAGATGACTTAAGTGGTTGGTACTTTGCCATCAATGTGGAGATCTGTATTGAGGTCATGAATCCAGCTTTGCCCTGGCCCAGTCTGAGTTGTTGTGGGCATTTGGGGAATGACCCAACAGATGTGAGTTTCTCTCTCTCTCTTTCTCTAATGAGAATAAATAAATTTTGAAAAAGAGTTCAAGGGTAAGCCAAAGTGTGTGGGAAACAGATCAGAAGGGCAGTAGCCCTTCTCAGTCATCAGGACATTCCAGAAGGGATATATTGAGACATCTTAACTAAAGGCCTTACCTAGCTATTTAATGTACCCTTATAGATTAGAAATCAGATTATTTTTTCTCAATTGACTTCCTACAATTTCCTGACATGTTTTTCTGGAGTTTCATTTTATCAGCTTAGAGAAAACTTTTAATTATGCTATCCTTGGATATGCATTGTGGTGTAGTGTGTTAAGCCACTTCTTGCAATGCTCATGTCCCAGATTAGAGTGCCTGGATCAAGTCTCACCTCCTTTTTCCATCAAGCTTCCTGCCAGTGTGCACCCCAGGAGGCAGTAGGTGATGACTCAAGTACTGGGGTTCCTGCCACCCATGTGGGAGACCTGGCTTAGCTCCTGGCTTTGGTCTGGTCCAACCCTGGCTGTTGTGGTCATTTGGGGAGTGAACCAGTGGATGGAAGATCTCTGTCTGTCTGTCTCTCCTTGTCACTCTGCTCTTTAAGTAACTAACTAACTAACTAACTAAATATAAAAAAAATCCTTGCATCAGTATCTTTACAGAAATGCATGTGGTAATAGAAGAGTGTGTTGAGATCATTCTGGAATTCTCCCTTGCTTCTGAAATTTATGAGTCAATTGAAGACTCTGTTAACAATGCAAATTGCTGGATCCCACTCCTAGAGCTTTATAAATTGCTGGGGTCAGATAATTTGCATTTTATGCCAGCAAGGCTCTTTATTCTGATCTGGGTATTGGCCACTGACTGTGGAGGATACTAGTTGCAGAAGAAAGGTGTGAACAGTTCCTTAGCTGGCTTGTCAGGCACCTTTATTTTTTATCTCAGCTGAAATCCAAACCATGCATTAAGTTTAATTTTTAAAAACTCAATAAAAGCTAGACAGACTTTTTGACTGGCCATAGGAGATTGGTTTTCAAATATAGCTACAACCATTAGAACAAGGGCACAGTTCTGGACATTTGGCATGTCCTTAAATTTATCATCAGTATTCAATGGTTATTTTGTTGTTTAACTCTTTTTGTTTTTGAGATTTTTATGTATTTATTTGGGAGGTAGTGTTATAGATAAAGAGAGGGAGAGACAGAGAGAAAAATCTTCCATCTGTTTGTTCGTTCCCCAGATGGCTGCAAAGGCCAGAGCTGTGCTGATCCAAAGCCAGAAGCCAGGAGCTTCTTCTAGGTCTCCCACATGGGTGCAGGGGCCCAAGCACTTAGGCCATCTTCTACTGCTTTCCCTGGCCATAGGAGAGAACTAGATCAGTAGTGGAGCAGCCAGGACACAAACTGGTGCCCATATGGGATGATGGCACTGCAGGAGGAGACTTAGCCCACTACGCAATGACGCTGGCCTCTGCTGTTTAACTCTTGCCTTCTACATTTATCCTTAGCACTAGAAAAGATATGAGTGAGTGACAGCAATTGCCCTTATGAAGTGTCAGTGCAGAAAGGTACTGTGGACTTCAGGAAAAATTTAAGTGTGAGCAAGGAGAAATCATGACATTTTTCAGGAGGGACTAGATGTGCATTTCCTATTGAATTGTTATTATTGCCTTCAAATCTACAGGTGCTCATATTCTGCCCTCCCCACTTCAAAGTTACTTAGTCACTTGGTCATAGCTGCAGACCAGGTATCTCTTTTCTTTAAAATGTGTTTTTGGGCTGGCGCCGCAGCTCACTAGGCTAATCCTCCGCCTTGCGGCACCGGCACACCGGATTCTAGTCCAAGTCGGGGCACCGGATTCTGTCCCGGTTGCCCCTCTTCCAGGCCAGCTCTCTGCTGTGCCCCGGGAGTGCAGTGGAGGATGGCCCAAGTGCTTGGGCCCTGCACCCCATGGGAGACCAGGAGAAGCACCTGGCTCCTGCCATCGGATCAGCGCAGTGCGCCAGCCGCAGCACGCCGGTTGCAGCGGCCATTGGAGGGTGAACCAGTGGCAAAAGGAAGACCTTTCTCTCTGTCTCTCTGTCTCACTGTCCACTCTGCCTGTCAAAAAATAAAAAATTAAAAAAAAATTAAAATGTGTTTTTGATAGCAAGTGTTCATGTCTTGGCTTTGATTACCATAATTTTATTTTTTTAATAGACCAAAGGTTTGATTTTCTGATAATAAAGGTAAAATTTACCATTGCAATGTTATAAACCTGTATTGTGGCTTTACTTTTTTTATTTTTTAAAATTTATTTATTTATTTAAAAGGCAGAGTTACAGAGAGAGGGAGAGACACAGAGGGAAAGGGAGAGAGATCTTCCATCTGCTGGTTCGTTCCCCAAATGGCCACAAGAGAGCTGGGCCGGTTTGAAGTCAGGAGCCAGGAGCTTGCTCTGAGTTCCACACATGGGTACAGGGTCCAAGCACTTGGACCATCTTCTGCTGCTTTCCCAGGCACATTATCAGGGACCTGGATTGGAAGTGGAGCAGTGAGGACTTGAACTGGCACTCATATGGGATGCTGTTAACTTAGGCAGAGGCTCAACCTGCTATTCCACATTGCCTGCCCCCATACCAAAAACCTTTTGATTTAATGTGACTAAAAGAATCTCTGTGGAGTCCCCAATTTATTAGATTGAGAAACCAGCTGACAACCTCTTTTAGAAAGTACAGGGAAGCTGAAATTTGCTAAAATTCTAGGCAAGGAGCCTAAATAGGTAAGAGCTATTTAAATTATTAATATTTTTCTAGATAAATGGGGCTTAAAATAAGTTTTGGCATTTTAAAAAAGAAAATATTGAAAGGAATCTAGTCTTTCCATGAAAATTCAGTATTGCTACTATAATCGATGATCATTTATACACACTACAAGTGTAAAGTCATTAAATCGTGTAGGTTTGGGGCTGAATTAATTGGCATGGAAACCATTAATTCAACCTTATTTCACAATTAGGAAAGTGAATATGAGGAAGATACGTGATTCAGTGACCGCGTCTGATATATTGGAGGTAGGGTGATAGGTAATGGGGAGAGTTCGTTTCCATTGTCTGTCACTGAGGAAATAGAGTTTTGGTTTAACTCTATGCTGCTTTCTTACTTTGCTCAAGGTTCCTATCCTTTCATACTTTGCTCAAGGGTCCTATCCTTTCATACTTTGCTCAAGGGTCCTATCCTACTGACCTCAGTGGGGGCAGGAAGGACTGAGAGCTGAGCCGAGTCCTCCTTCCTCAAATGGGCAGATGCTGGGAGGAAGTTGAATTGAGCAGGCAGAATCTAGCATTTAGCCAGCATGCCATCGTCCCTGTGGCAGCGATTCAGGAAAGCTGTCAGAATCCGCAAAGGCCATCATGAAATTACACAGAGACCCTGCAAGGCAGATGGAATGCAGTCATGGTGAATGCAGGAATTGGCAGCACTGCTTTGGTCTATTGATCATTTTCCAAACACACCAAGCACGCTCACATCTTCATGCCCCTGTCGCTCTGTTCTCTCTGTCTGGAGCACCCACAGGTTTCTGATGAATTAAATTCTTTTCACTCGATGGAGATAGTAGAGTGTATCATATACTCTGCAAGTTACAGAAGATGTGATTACGGTCAGCTGTATGCAGAACCAGCAGCCTGAACTTTGTTTCAGTGGCTCAGCAGGAGCCGGGCAGCATATCTGGGGAACCTCTTTATAACCAGAACAGCCAGTTCTCAAAGGACTTCATTATTAATATGGATGTTTGTATTCCAATTTTGTTTCAAGTGGAAGCTTTTAACGATGTGGCTTGTTTTCTGCTTGTTGAATTCATGCTTTATATGTGTGTTACACTCTGCCATCCTGAGTGCTTCATACTTAATGTTGTAGTTGGTCCTCAGAATAATATGTGAGCTGAATGCACTTCCAGAAGTTCATGGAAAATAGAATTGAAAGGGAAGTTTATGTTGGTACAGAGCATTTGAAATCCATGCCCTATGAGGAATCTTCAAAAGGTTTTTGGAAAACATGCATAATGAAGAAACTATGCATGGATATCATTTTTGCATCAAATACAAATAAATACATCTTTTTTATTCGATCTTCCATAAAGTTTTTGAGGTGCCCTCATGTAAATATTTATTCCGGCACAATAAAAGATGGAGCAGAGACAGAGGGAGCGTGGGTTAATTGCACCACATCAAACACGTGGTAAAAACTGAGATTTCAATTTAGATATCCCTATGCCAGTGTCCATATTATTACATCTGCTGGGGACAGTATGCTTTCACAGAAATGGCACAGGAAGGTGAAGTTCAGACTGGGTCTAAAATGTGTTAATTTTTCATACTCTAGACATTGAATAAATAATTGGTTTGGAGAAATATGAAGTGTATTCTGTTTGGGTGACAGCTTGAAATCTTTTTTTTCCCCTTTCTCAGAGAACCTCAGCCAACAAGGCCTCAGGTGCTCCTTCGTATAGCAGATGGTCCAGTTCACAGCCACATCAGGTAATATGCTCTTTTTAAGAACCTTGCCATCCTTGTTTTCCTTGAAGTGTGCTTAAACTTACAATAATTTTTATCTGGGCAATTCTGGAAGCTGTTGAGCTCTTGTCTGTTCTCACCTCAAACGTAGCTACTATGGTCAAATGGCTGTGTACTTAGGTCGTTATTGGATATGATTCTCTGTTCCTATTTAAGGTTAGGGTTTATGAGGATGATGGTGATGAAAAGGTAAGGAGCCTGGAAAATGCTGAAGCTCCTTGTCCCTTCGTAATGAATGGCATAGATAAAACCAATCGATTATTGGAAGTGTAGTTTGTCTTGTTTTCCTTCAGCAGAAGATTATCCCTTCGGGCTCTTTTATTCCTGAAAATTGTGTGTGCACCCTCATATATCTGGTATCTTTGTGAGGTTGAGCACCAATACACTTAGACAAGGTCCTAGTGTTACAAAGAATAATTCTTTTTCATAGTTATTCAGGCTGCACAACAACCTCTATTTAGGTCAATAAACACTGAACAATGTTTTGCCTCTTTAGAGGAAGTTAAGCCAGCAGACTGCTGTCTTATGTCTTAGTATATACAGAACAGATATTTTCTGTGAGTGAGCAGGGACCACGTGGGCTTCTAGGTGCTTGTGTCTTCTGCTTTTGGAAGCATCATGTGCTGAGAACACTGACTTTGGTCTCTAAGAGCTGAGTAGGATGTGCCTTCAAATCACCTGTCTGTTATGAGGTCAAGAGGAGGTAAAATCCCATTTTGTGTTGTGGGTCAGAACACTCTTACTATGACTGTAGAAGAAGCATATAATAAACGTTTCATATCACCATTGCCCCCCCCCCATTTTATTGACATTCGAGGGAAATTTAGCATAGGTGCTTACTCCCCTATTGGCATAATGTGAGAACTCCTTTGTATGCTTCTTTGTCATCTTTCTTTTTTGAAGTCAGAAATTGGCTTTTATCAATAATTACATTAAAGAAAATCAATGAGAAGAATGATTTCTTCCATTGTGCATTATTTTATCACAGCACCTCTTCTGGTATTAAATTGCTTGGTGAGAAGGAAAGTAGAGGTGGTGACTTGGTCTGCAGTTGCATCAGCTCTATGAGGATGCTGTAGTTTCTGGTAACTTTGGAAGGATGTCCCTGTTTCACAAGTGTGAGCAGAGAAAGGTGGTAGTATGAAACACTGCAGTGGCTCCAGTAAGCAGAGATTGCTTTGAATATCCAGGTTTTTACTGTCTCCATTGTAGACACAACCAACTAATGTACATAAAGAGGTGCATCAGTATTTCTTATAATGTACATAAAGATGTACATCAGTATTTCTTAGTTCTATTCTTGAACTGTATGGGGACTGAATTCAGCAGGTCACCACCCTTGTCTTTAGAGACTTGCTAATCTAATCTTTCATAGCCTAAGGAATACAAGACCCAGAGATTGCATTGTGCAAGATTACACGAATCTTGTTGCCCTAGGATTCTATGTTTTCCCCAAAAATCATTGAGTTCTTTCCCCAATTATTTATTTATTTGAAAGACTGAGTGATGGAAAAAGAGAAAGAGATCTTCTGTCTACTTGTTTACTTTCCTTTCAAATGCCTGCCATCAGGAGCACCATCTGGGTCTCCCACATGAGCGACAGGAACCCAAGTACCTGGGTTATCATCTGCCATGCCCCAGGCACATTAGCAGGAAGCTAAATGGGAAATGGAGGTGAGACTCCATTCCAGGCATTCTAATATGGAATGTGGGCATCCCAGGTTGTGGCCAAACCAGCAGTGCCACTTCCCACCCCTCATTCAGTGTTCCAAGTTAATAAGATTCTTTTGGGACCTTCTCAGTGAGATAATCTCAAGTCATTATTCTTTGAATATGTGCTGGGCTTGGAAAACATTTCTCATGATCCTATGAAATATAAAAAGTGAAGATAGAGTTATATTTGGGGTAGTCCTGAATTCCAACAATACATCCTTTCAGTTTTATACCCTAGGAAAATTAAAATGCTGACCATCCTGTTCACACTTCTCAGTATTTTTTTTCTGTGAATACTTAAAAATCTGTTAAACCCCAGAGAAAGAGCTTCCGAAAATGGGCTTCGTTTTAACTCTTTCATGCTTTGGAAGAAGTGTGGTTATGCTGGGGGAACTGCAACTGTGGCAATGCCTTTTGGATTGGAGCATATAACTGCATATCATTTCCAAATGGCCCTCTGATTGGAACTCGTATTTGTACCATCTTATTTGTACTGAGGGTTCCTTTTAATTCTAAGTGAAAGGAGTGGCACTGTTTTCTGTGGTACTGGGCATCTGCCCATTTGCTCTCAGTTCCTTTCCATGCCTGACCTTTGGCTCCTACTTCCTCAGACTCCCTTGCTAGCTGACTCCCTTGCTATGGTTCCTCCCAATAAGAGAAGTTAAGAGTAGGAAAGAGCAGGGAGGGGAGATGAAAATATCTATGATATGAGCCTCCAGGCGCAGTCCCTATGAGGCGGGAATTGTGTTTGTGGACTCTGGTACAATTCTCTGTCCAGTCCTGGTGTGGTGAGAGGTGCGTGTGGAGGGGTAGCAACTTTCCTCACTCTTCTCTTTTTTTGTTTTCAGCTCTCCCAACCATATAACGAGTTTGCTGTATTAAATCCCTTCTTGTGGATTTCTTGGGGTGGACTCTGTTTTCTGGGCGTTCTTGCAACTATTTTCTTGCTAATACACCTCCTATGACATGATGTACTTCTTTCGTTTCCATAACAGTGACTTTTCATTTCAGAAATATTATGGGAGTATTTACAGGATCACTCGCCTTGCAGCTGCTGAAAACTCAGTGATGTAGTCCCCTGAGCTGGCCTAGTGGGTGGTAATCCTTTTATACCCCTATCCCACACAGAATAATTATTTCTCTTCTTTGTTACTTGTGCTCTAATCCTTTCCTTTTAAATTTGTGTTTATTGAAAAAAAAACCTTTGTCTTTTGTGTTTGCAATATAATAGGCTTATGGGCTCGGTCTTTGAAAACACCTACACAGATTCTCAGCCTGAGATTCAAGGTACTACTGCCAGCTCCTTCTCCAGCCCCCAGCTCCTTGTCCTCTTCTGAGTTTTGGTATCAGATCATTTTTTGTTAAAAAGTCGGAGATTCATATTCTGTAGAGTCCAGATAAATCTTACCCGTTTCTTTTCAGTATATGCGAACCTCAAATAAACACACAGATCTAGTAATGAGTAAATCAGTACATAAGTAGGCACCTTTGGTTTTTAAAACTGCATTCATTTGAGAATTAATATCATTATCATTGCCATTTCTTCACAGTCATTATCATCTTTGCTGACGTTTATTAGATGTTTACTCTGTGGTGGCTGCTAATTTCTTTGCATGCACTATCTCATTTAATGTTCTCAATCTGTCAAATACTATGACAAATGCAGTATTTTACAGATGCAAGACCTGACAACCAGAACATTTAATTATCGTGTTCAATGACACAGGGTTAGTTCTGTCAGATTCCAGAGCCCTGGTTTCTTGACCAATATCAATATTATCTGTGGAAAGTATTTAGAGTAATTTAAGGCCATTGAAAACCATTTTAATCAATAGGTAGGTTTTAAGATGACTGTAACCTGATGTTTTGACCTTTGGGCACTATTTCTACTCTGCAATTGTTTTTCCGTGAATAATTTTCTTTGTTGAGTGGCCTTACATCCACTCAAATATGGGTCAGTCTATTGCAAAGCAAAAACAAAAACAAAAAAAAGCTTTCAAAACATGGAGGTTAAAATATTTAAAAACGCACTGGTTGGTGCTTTATTTGGGATAATTTGAAAACATATTTGTAAGAAAATGGCATTTCTTCCCATTGTTTCAAAATTAGTAAGTAATGAAAAATAGTTTTATATGCTTACAAATATCTGTATCAAATAAAGTAGTCATTATCAATTGTACTTCATTTGAATAAACAGACAAGTGAGAGTGGTGACCAGTTGACTGTATTTTCAAATTTAAACAAAATGAGAAATTGAAATCATGATGAGTTTTCTGTGGATATTGTGCACTTCATTTTAGAAAAGTTTCTTAGTCCCCATCACATCTTCCCTCTCATAATCACAAAATTTCTTATGAATATTAAATATTCTCCTATGCCTGAGAAATAAAAAGTTTTTCCTTTGAATAATTAGCACCAACCGAAACATGGTGTCTTTAAAACCCTCAGTGTGAAATTTGGGTCAATAATGATCCATTAGTTGATTGATGATTCTTTAGGCCTTTAATAAACTATCTGTTTGCATTAGTTCTTAATAGGTGAGAACTTTAAACCTCATCTCATTAAAAGGGTAAACCAGTGAATTAAAAAAAAAGTAAAGTATACATTTAGTTGAGGAATACAAAATGACTCAAGAGAATTCAAGTAGATAGTCCAATGTCATTATTTTTCTAAGGGCAGATAGAACTGATGGAGTTTAAGGCTGACAGCATGTACATGTTTCAAGTATTTGGTGTTAAACAAGGGAAGAAGAGGGTATTTTCTTGTTTTACTATGTTTGTGTAGTAAGAGAAAGAAGAGTGTAGCTTACTGGGAGATTAAAAAGCTACTGTTCATAGTTTGTACTTTTCCTGGATTGTTTTATATATATTTTCATACATGTGTATCTAGTACTCAGCATGGAGTAGGAACTCATAAAGCATTGTTCAATGAATGAGTGACTGATACGAAATACAGCAGTGATAGAATTTGGAAAGGGGAACTCTAGTCTGTTTTTATTTTTCCTTTCCTCAATTAGTTTCCAACTCGTCCTTAACTGAAGCTCACATCAAAGCTTGTGATTTTGAACAGACTGAAGTAGAATGCATGTTGTGTCATCTCTGACTGGGTAAAATCACCGTCACACCTTGAGCATTGTGGTGAGGGAAATCGAGGCTTCCGGAGATCATGATAGTCTTCCCTCTGAACCGCTGGACAGTCTCGGTGCCGTCCATGTTATTTATTTTGGATTAATGTGGCAGCTGTGAAATTTT